TTCCTTTGCCTATTCCTATTCTTGAAGGAGAGTTGTGTAGTGAGAGTACTTGTCAGAGGTGTAAGGAGTTGAGGGCAAGGTTCAAAGTATCGATACGTATCGACCGATAAGTATCGTTCCGGGACCTCTCCGATATGCCCCTATAGTGGGTGTATCGGGGGTTCGATCGGTTCAGGGGGTGGAGGAGCCCTAAACCACCCCCTGAACCAGTTTTGAAAAAAAATAAAAAAAAAGTAAAAAAATGGTATTGATTCGCCCGATACACTCTTACCAATGTATCGGGCATATCGATATTTTGAACCTTGGTTGAGGGTTTTCCACAAGAGGTGGAGGCAAGTTGATTTTGGTGCTCATATTCAGTCTAGGCCAGTTCCTCTCATTTCTGTAGTTTCAGATTTAGGTACTTCCCCTCCTTGCTTGTTGATACATCACTCTCACCTTCTGATTCCTTATCCCCTCTAGATCTTGATCTTCCCATTGCAATCCGCAAAGGGAAGCGTCGGTGCACTTCATCCACCACCCATTGCATATCTCAGTTTATCACCTATGATCACCTTTCACCATCCTATAGGTCCTACCTGGCATCTATGTCTGCTGTATCTATTCATAGGTCTATCCAAGAAGCTCTTGTAGTACCTGAGTGGAAAAATGCAATGGAGGAAGAGATGGATGCTCTCATTAAGAATAAGACTTGGGAGCTAATTGCCAAACTAGAAGGGAAGAAACCAGTTGGGTGCAAATGGGTGTTCACTGTGAAGCATAATGCAAATGGTTCAGTTGAAAGGTATAAAACCCAGTTGGTTGTAGAGGGGTATACTTAGACTTATGGCATTGATTACCTATAAACCTTTGCACCTTTTTCCAAGATGGATACCATTAGAATTCTATTATCCCTTGTAGTAAATTTTTCATGGCCTCTGTTTCAACTGAATGTCAAGAATGCTTTCCTTAATGGTGATTTGCAGGAGGAGGTGTATATGGAGTTACCTCCTGGTTTTTATGATGAAGCTATAGGGTAGAAAGTTTGCAAATTACAAAAGGCCCTATATGGTTTAAAACAATCTCCAAGAGCCTGGTTTGACTGATTTAGATTGGTTCTTAAAAGTTTTGGTTATGTACAGGTCCACTCCGATCACTCTCTTCATTAAGAGAAATTGCACTTCTCTACACTTCTTGCAATGTATATTGACGACATTGTTGTGACTGGTTGTGATATTGATGAGATTGATTCTCTCAAACAATTGCTTAATAAGGAATTTGAAGTGAAAGACCTTGGTGACATGCAATATTTCTTGGGAATTGAAGTGGCTCACTCTAGACATGGTATCTTCATTTCACAGAGGAAGTATGTCCTTGATCTCCTTGGGGATACTGGGAAACTAGGAGTTAAACTAGTAGACACACCCATTGAATTGAATCATAAGATAAGTCTTGAAGACAAAGACATGTACCAACGATTGGTAGGAAAGCTCCTTTATCTATGTCTTACCCGTCCTGAGTCCTGACATCTCTTATGCTGTTAGTGTTGTCAGCCAATACATGCATTCTCCTAGAACCACTCATCTATTGGCTGTGGAAAGAATCCTTGCTTACTTGAAGAGATGTCCAGGTCGTAGCATACTCTTAAAGAACAATGGTCATATGCATAGTTTTCAAGGCGCCAAGGCAAGGGGGGCGCCTTGTCACCTAGTTGCCTAGGCAATGGATTTTTTTTATGTTAGAGACATAGATCCTAGGGTAGTTCCCTAGGTACCATAACAATATTTCCTTAATTATTCATAATTTTCAAAAGAAAATTATAAAGTTCATAATAAAGTATAGAAAATCAACATATTTATGAAAAGAAAAAGAAGAAGGAAAATAAAACTCAAAAAATATAGGGGCTGAACCCTTATTTTGTTATAGGAAAAGAAGAAAAGAAAAAGTATTGGTAGTAGTAATAGTAATAGTAGAAGAAGAATATATGGAAGAAGAAAATTTGCTGATTAAATAAAATTTTAAGTTCTTCCTTACTTATTGGTTTGGGTTTTGAAGTCTTTGAGGGTTCAATACAACATTTAGCAATGTTTATGTTGATTAAACCCTAATAAATAAGAAAATAATAAAATGAAGTTAGAATATAAACTAAAAAAATGAGTATTTTAGTTTAATAATGTCTATTTTATAATTATGATCTCAAAAAAGAATGAACAAAAAAGTATTTTATAGTAGAGTAAATCAGTGCTTGGCAATTAGGCGAGGCGAGCCTCAAAGGGCACCTTGTCGCCTAAGCACCCGCCTAGGTGTCACCTTGACAATTTGGTCATATGAAAATTGAGGTGTATATTGATGCTGATTGGGCCGGATGTGTTGATGATAGAAGATCAACTTTAGGGTATTGTGCTTTTGTTGGAGGTAACTTAGTGTCATGGCATAGCAAAAAACAAAATGTTGTTACTCGTTCAAGTGCCAAGGCAGAGTATAGGTCCATGGCTCAAGGTGTGGCTGAAGTGTTATGGCTGAGATCCCTTCTTGAGGAACTAGGGATTGAGTATTTGAAACCATTGAGGTTGTATTGTGATAATCAAGCTGCCATTAATATTGCTAACAACCCAATCTAGCATGACAAAACTAAACATATTGAGGTTGACCGTCACTTCATCCAAGAGAAAGTTGCTTCTCAAGATGTTTGCTTGCCCGATGTTGCCTTTGATATGCAGCTTGCTGATTTCTTCACCAAACCAGTCACCAAAGTCAAATTGGAATCAGATTTGTGCAAGTTGGGAATGATCAACATCTATTTCCAACTTGAGGGGGAGTGTAGTGATACTGTGGACCAGACCTGATATGTTTACTTGTGCTCCCATAAATTCAGTTATCTTGTTGCTTATTTTTGCTTTCTGCTTGCTTTCTTGTACTGTTGTAGGTAGTAGGGCATTTCTGTCCTTTTACTTCATGTTATGTTAAACACATATACTGCTTAGGGTGGCAATAATATAACATTCTGCCCCCATTCCTCTCCTCTTCTTCTTTTTTCTTCTCTTTTTGATTTCTGGGTTATTTTTTAACCTAAAAGTTCTGCTAACAGCAGTAACTTCAAGTCCCTACTTATACAAAGTTGGATATATTCCTCTTCTCTAATAATTGGAAGGAAATGTGGGGTACCCTAGCATCCAAAGCCTTACCTAGAGTGACTTTGGATCATTGTCCCATTAGTCTAGAGAAAGAATGTTTTGGAGGAGGTCTGTCACCCTTCAAATTTGAAAATATGTGGCTTGAAGATCCCTCTTTCAAGGAAAGATTGAAGGATTGATGGGGAGAGCCCAAATTCCTTAGGAAGTGAGAAATTAGTTAGTTTTTCTAGAAAGCTAAAGAGACTAAAGGAGAGAATTAAAGCTTGGAACAAAGAATCTTTAGGAAGGGTTTGGAAGGGTAGAGGAAACCAAGGAGAAGTTAACTTTGCGGATTGAAGAGTTGGACAAAAAAGAGGCTCTTAGAGCATTGTCTAAAGAGGGAAGGGAGGAAAGGTGGAGATGTGATTCAGTCCTGTACAATCAGAATAGAAACCTAGAAAAAATAAACAGAAATACAGAAGAGAGGAAAAATAGTGGAAGAGGAAGAAAAAAAGAAGAAAAGAATGAAGAAGGGAGAAGAAGAAGAGAGTTTGATCAGATCTCTCTCTATTCTCCTATTCTGTTTTATTAAAACCAATAATTATGGATTAATTACAATCTTGCCCTTAATGGGGCGGCCGACTATTAAACATTACTTAAAAAGAACAAAAGAATGTTAACAGGCCCACATGGACAAGGCCCATTAACACTAACGTAACATATAAGATAAAAAGAAACTAACTAAAGCACTACGGCCCATCCAACCCAATTTCTCTACACTCCCCCTCAAGCCAATCATTCCCAGCTTGCTTCTGTAATGTATTAGTTTCCCTTATGGAACACCCTTTGTCAAGACATCAGCCAACTATTCTTAACTTTTCAGAGGTAGTAAATGGCAAGCAAACTTCCCCTGAAGCAACTCTCTTCTGAATAAAATGTTTGTCAACCTCTATGTGCTTTGTTTTTATCATGCTAGATAGGATTATGTGCAATGTTAATAGTTGTTTGGTTGTCACAGTATAACATCATTGGCTTCTCACAATCCATACCCAATTCTCCAAAAGGGATCTAAGCCACAATAGTTTTGAAACTCCACAGTTCATGGCCCTGTATTTTGCCTCAGCTGAGGATCTGGCCACTACAGACTGTTTCTTACTCCACGAAACAATGTTACCTGCCACCAAAGTGCAGTATCCCGAGGTATACCTCCTATCATCAATACATCCAACCTACTCTGCATCAGTGTATGCCTCCAGTTTCATGTGTCCATGCTTAACAAAAAGAATGCCCTTCCCTGGAGTGCCTTTCAAGTAACACAAAATCCTCTCAACACCTGCCATATGCGTGTCTCTAGGAGAATGCATCAACTAACTAATGACACTCACTGAATAGGAAATATCCAGCCGGGTCATACAAAGATACAACAACTTCCCTAGTAGTCTTTGAAATACTCCCCTATCATACAATAACTCACCATCAATAGCCGAGAGTTATGATTCAAATCTATAGGTGTGGAGGCTGGTTTAACACCAATTCTGTCAGTCTTAGCAAGGAGGTCAAGGACATACTTGCATTGAGAAATGAAGATACTTTCTTTGGATTCGCAAACTATGGCGTGAATAGGTACTTAAATTCCACATGATTTGGATCAACATAGAATTCAATTTGATTTTCATCAAATTATCTATAGACAGCTTAAGTATGTTTGTGTTTGTCTTAAGAAGCTCATCATAAAATTAATTTGGATGGGTAGCTGAAAGTTAAAATGAAGCTTAGATGCTAGCTGGCTATGTGTAGTAAATGCTACATGTTGTGCTTCTCTAGTTATACCTTTCCATAGGTGTAATACTCATTTTAGTCATGGAGACCCACATGATTTATAAGATAACCTAACAATGCTTGTGACAGGCAGTTCAAGAGACCACATGCAGCAGAGCTATCTGATTTTGGGTGTTTAATTGTGTTGGCCCTTGGAGTCATTCTTCTTCAAGAAACAGGTGGAGTAAATGGAACTTCTGGATCACATTAATAATATCCCTCCAATGTTCCTTGATAAAAAAACATCCTACAATTTTGTTCTTTGTTCAGTTAGTCATTGAGCTGACCTGATATAGTTGGGATAAGGCTTGGATGATGATGATGATGATGATTCAGTTGGTCATTGGCCTGGAACTTTGAAGCATGAGAGTTTCTATATTGAGTAACTTGAACAAGAAGACTTTCTTTACAATATTTATTTTCTTCTATCAGATATCAGCCTAATATATCACATGATCCGTGGTCAAGGAACAATCAAGCTCTATGTGGTGTACAATGTATTAGAGGTCAGCCAGCAGATCAAGTGATTATGTCAATTTTGATGCACACTGCTTGCTTATTGAAATTGAACGTTATAATGCTTGGATTSAAAATCTATTTTAACTGATCCTTCAAACTGTGACAGATATTTGATAAACTATGCCAAAATTTTGGCGGGGATGTGTTGCAAACTCTGTTCAGTTCTTCAGAGGGGCTTGCAAATTCTTCACCAGAAAATATGAGATTTTGGCTGTGGAGATATATTTCTGATCAAGCATTAGCTATTGTTGCATCTAATATCCTTTTTTGTGGTTTATGCTTTTATGTTTTAGATTTTTTTGGTAGCTAGGTCATGGCAATCATACAATTTCCCTTTATTTTCCTTATCTAGTCATACTTGTGCATTCATTTATCTTATTAGCCCAGGCAATCACTTTATCTACGTGTATTGTTGCCCACAATAATGCACTGCTTKCTTTGCTGGTATCAAATAATTTTGCTGAGATTAAGAGCAATGTGTTTAAACGCTTTAGCAAGGACAACATTCACAGTGTGGTGTACCATGGTGAGTTGTTCTTCTACCTTTGTTCTTATTTGGTGGATTGGTGATCCACTACCACATTGAATGTGATCCGTGTTTCTGATGCTCAGACTTGTTAATAACTATGAATATCCTAAATGGTCCTGGGTCCTGCTATAATTGCATGCCATGGAGCCAACTAAAAATAAAATACATGGTGACAGTTCTTCTGATTTATCTTGAAAGGGCAGTCTTGGTCTTTCTGTTACCTTTCCAAAACTTTCCATATTTTCTTTTTTAATTCTATAACTTTTTTCCAGCTTATATTTAGGACTGGAACATGACAGAGCAATGCCCCGATGTTGATTGCTGGTCATAGTCAAGTATCATTCACTCCACAATTTAATGATGGATATGGTACTGAAAAGAATGGAATGGCAAAACAGGATTCGTGTATCTGAACCCATATAGTTGGGACAAGGCTTAGATGATGATGATGAGACTAGCACCATTCTGTCTGAAACTTAAAACTGAAGTAGAAGTTCTAGTATAGAGCCTACTTGTCTCCAGAAGAGCACTGGTGTTCTCAAGGTCTTAATAAAAAAGGTGTAGGGATTTTCAGTAAGGGCTGATTTGGACCATGAAATGCTGAGTTGGTTGCAGTTACAGAAACTTAAAGTTGCCACCTACCATGATTTTTTGTTTTGATAGCAAAGAAAAACCTTTATCACTTATAAGGTGCAAAGACAACACCTTCACTCAACACACAACACCAACCAAGAAAGCAAACACTCACTGACCATTACACCTCTTCAAAAGAAACAGGCTCTCCACCTCTCTCTCATCTTTCTCTCACCTTTATAGCTAGCAAAAGGAAAACAAGAATCCCCTTCATCAAAGCAACAACTTCAGACTCCCCACCCTCTGCCTGAGCCACTGCCTTTAAACCTCCCAATCAAATATTTCCTCCTGCCCTTCCTCATTCCCTGCCTCTCCTCCTTCCCCGGAAAAAAAGATTCCTTTTTAAATTTTTTTTCTGGATTATTTGTTTTGTCTTCTGTTGTGGGTGACATCTTGTCACCTTTTTTGTACCTCCTTTCTTTTCAATAAAATTTTCGTTTTTATTTATTTTCAAAAAAAGAAACTTTTCAAAATTCTCCTGGAAAAAGCCTCTCATCCTAAAAACCACATACCTAAATGCTTGCCAACCTCTACGTCCCTGTCAACCAAATTTTCAATCTCTGAGCTTCCTTGTTTCTTCACCTGCCCTTCTGTCAAGACATCGTCAACTCTCCCCTTAACTATACATCCACCTTCATTTTCCTTCTTCTCCGGATCTCCACTTCTCTCTGGCTCCTTTTCAGTCACACCCAACAGCTGATTTTTCTTGCTAATAGAATCTTGAAGCTCATGGCCTTCTCCAACAGAGCCTTCTTGTCTCGGAACTCTGACTTTTACACTCTTTCTTTTATACACCCTTTTATATTTATTAGTAGGACCTGCCCTACCAAACCATCTTGAAGTCACAAAAAAACCTTGGTAACATGTACAGCATGTTTTTTTTTTTTTTTGAGAAAAGTTAATCAATATTCATTGATAAAAGAATGAGATACATGAGGAGGTGTACAAAGCAGGGGGAGAACCACTACAATTTACAAAGGAGGAAGTTTGTTGCTATATAGATGCTCTAAGAGCACACCACATTTTGCTAAGCCATCTGCTGTATGGTTGTTTTCCCTAGGAATCCAAACTAACTTTACATTTAGGCATTCCGAAGAGTCCCTGGCCTCTTCTAAATGGTGACTTAATCTCCATGGTCCCCCCTCTGTCTCTTAACCATTTTATTGTATTTGCTGAATCACCTGCAATGGTTATATTTTGAATTCCCAAGCTTTTTATTATTCTGATTCCTGTGGGGGCAGCTTACTTGAGCTTTTGGAATTCTTCGAAACCTTCAGAGCATCAACATGATCATTTAAGCTTTTGGACTTCAGGCATTGGTACAATGCCTGCAAGGTTAACAAATCCTTAGTTGGAGAAAGAGAAGAGAAGAGGAGTGTGAGTGTTCTTTGGGGAAGAGGCTGGGGCTTTATTCTGACAGAGTAATAGTTAGTTCATCGTTAGAATGACTTTGCCCATATTACCTAGTATTTTGGTTTGTAATCCATGATTTGCAAAATCCAAATGCACCAGATTTTCTAGGTATAGGTTTCTTTAGTGCATATGGTTTATTGTGGTTGTTTAATAGTTTACTTAGATCCACAATGAATGTCTAAAGTGACAGGTATCATGCACCATAATATGATGGCAATGGTGTTAGATGGTATAAGATCACATCTGAATGTAGATCCACATAATAGTTGTTGTACTCGTCTTTAAGACAAGATTGTGAAGTATCCAGTAGGAGTCTTAGATTAAGTAGGCTTTTAATATTATGTTCAATCAATTAACTCAAGGTGGATATATAAGACTTGTTTTTCAAACTAGGCAGTAACCATAGATTTGCAAACTGGTTGAATAGAGCCAATTCACTTCAAGAAAATTAGTTAAGTTGACCTTACCTTCAAGACCTCTTATCCATAAAGGAGTAGGAGACCCCAAGGTTGGTGAGGTGATTATATCAGGAATATCGAGCCTTTATAGTTTTTGATAAGTGCATTCAATATATCATGATACAGGTGAAAACAATCAAGTTGCAAGTCTCTGCGAAGTCTCTGAAAGGGACCAACTTACCTCAAGGCATCTCTTCCCAATAAGGAATTACCCTCAGCTCATGCTGAGATTCTGGGGTGCCTTGCACTGCAAAGCATGACAGTTAAGGTTTAAAATGTGAGTGTTGATGGAAATATCGGTCATCTACGAATAGGAAACATGTTGGAAATATCCAATGAAATTTTGGGAAATTATGCAAGAAGCATGAAATATGAATGCAATGCACACTTCATCCGAAGAAATGGCCTAATAGACCCTCTGTTAAATGGTTGCAGATTTACTTGGAGGAATGGGCAGGACCTACAAACACTCAGAAGACTTGACAGGTTTCTGTACTCTGGAGGTTGGGAGGATCATGTAGGAAATATGATTCAAGAAGCATTGCCATTTCTGATGTCAGACCATAAACCAATTATGTCGAGACAACTTGTACCAATCAGTGGTCCAAGACCTTTTAAATTTGAGAACATATGGTTAGGCCACCCAGAATTTTTAGGTTGGGCAAAGGAAAAATGGGAGGGTTTCTAGGTGGAAGGCTTGGCAGGCTTCAAATTGGCCAGAAAATTTCAGCTACTGAAAGAAGAGATCAAGAAGTTGAATGTTTCGGTTTGGCAGGTTAGAATTTAGGAAGAAGGAGGTTGTGGATAAACTGGGCAGGTTGGACAAACGGGAAGAAACAAGGCTTTTGTTGAGGGAGGAGAGGGTGGAAAGAGAGAGGTTGGAGTCAGATCTGAAAAGTCTGATCTACAGAGAAGAGGAGAGTTAGAGACAAAAGTCCAGAATGATTTGGTTAAAAGCAGGGGACAGAAACACAGCCTTCTTTCACGCTTATGCCAATGCAAGGAGGAGGAGAAATTTGACAGAAAATTGGATGGAAATTTAGAAGGTGATAGGTTCTTACAAAACATTGTACACATCAAGGATAAGGAGAGGGATAACACTTGGAGATCTGGCACCAAAAAAGTTGTGTGAAAATTCAGCAATTTGGTTAGAGAGAGTTTGGATTCAATTTTACTTTCATCAAGGCTGGTTGGGAGTGGCTTGAGAAAGATTTTGAGCAAATGTTCAAGCAGTTCCACAGAGAGAAGATGATGAATGCCACCTTCATTTCTCTAATTCCTAAGAAGTAAGGTGCGATGGAGTTGAAGGACTTTAGGTTAAGATGTGTGCTTCATGAGGTGGTTGGTGTAGCTCAAATGGCTTTTGTAGAGGGGATGCAGATGTTGGATGGGGTCCTAGTGGCTAGTGAATGCATTGATTCTCGTCTGAGGAGTGGTAGACTAGGTCTGATTTGTAAGATTGATTTTGAGAAGGCCTATGATCATGTGGAGTGAGGTTTCTTAGACGAAATACAAAGCTTGATGGGGTTTGGGGAGAAGTGGAGGGCTTGGTTGTTTGCATGCATATCTACTGTCTCCTTTTCAATACTGCTGAATGGAATTTCCTCAGAGTTCTTTCAGGCTTATAGGGGCTTGAGGCAAGGAGATCCTGTGTCTCCTCTGTTGTTTGTTATGGTGATGGAGATATTGAACTTATTTCTAGAGAAAAGTGGTCAATTGGGCTTAATTGAGGGCTTTATGGTAGGAGGAGATGGACCTTGCATAACTCATCTGCAGTATGCAGATTATACTCTAATTTTTTCCGGATGCAAAGGTGGAGCAACTGCTGAATTTGAGGGCTGTGTTGGCAAACTTTGAGTTGTTAACAGGTCTGAAGATTAACCTTTCCAACAGCACAATAATAGCAGTTAGAGAGGTTGGGAGGGATTTGTTGAGGGAGTGTGCTGATGTCTTGGAATGTAGGATTGGTGAGCTCCCTTTCACATATCTGGGATTGTCGATTGGTGGTGCAATGGAATCAGTGTATTTGTGGAAAGCATTTTTGGAGAGAATTGAGAGAAGGCTAGATGGTGGAAAGCCAAATATCTATCCATGGGGGGGGGGGGAGTGACTCTAATCAAAGTGTTCTATTTAGCCTTGCAACATATTACCTGTCTTTGCTAAAGGTTCCACCTAAGGTAGCTGAAAGGATTGAAAATTTCTAGAGGGAATTTCTTTGGGAGGGTGTGGGTGGGAGAGGAGGGGGCAAGAAATTTCAATTAGTGCACTAGGACAAGGTGTGTTTACCAAAGGAGAAGGGTGGGCTTGGGATAAGGAGAGAATTTTTAACAGGGCACTACTGGGAAAATGGTTGTGAAGGTTTTGTTTAGGGAGAGAGGAGAATTCACTGTGGAGGAGGACTGTGGCTAGGAAATATGGAGCTGTGAGGTTTGGTTGGGAATCAAGGAAGGTGAGAGCTTCCTATGGGGTGAGTGTTTGGAAGGGGATTGTGGCCTTTAATAAGGAATTCAGAGACCTTAGTAGTTTTGTAGTAGGGGATGGGTCTAAAATCAGATTTTGGGAAGATGAATGGTGTGGGGTGGGTAAGCTATGCAAGTTATACCTGAGGCTGTACAGATTATCAGATGCTGAAATTACTATTAATGATTGTTATGAAAGAAGGGAAGATCAGTTGATTTGGAACCCGCAATTCAGGAGGTCTCTGCTGAACAGGGAAGTTGAAGGATGCATCTTGCTCTTAGAAAAACTTGAGGGGGCAAAACCTGCATTTCAGCAGAGAGATAAGCTCTGGTGGAAGGAGGGAAAGAATGTTAAATTCACAGTTAAGTCATGTTATATGGCTCTCAGCAGATCTATCTCAGCCCCAAGTCATATTAAAGGCATTTGGGGAAACCCAGTCCCTCCAAGAGTTGAGGCTCTGGCCTGGCTGGTAGCCATGGACAGTGTATTGACAGTTGATCATCTGAAATCTAGATGTTTTAGCATGGCTAGAAGATGCTGTCTGTGTGAGGGTCAGGAAGAGGATGCTACTCACTTATTCATATCTTGCAAGTTCTCAAGCTTCTTATGGAAAGTGTTCACATCTATGTTTGGGGTCTCAGGCCTTCACCCAACTTCAACAGCAGAGATTTTCTATACTTGGCCAGGCTGAGTGGGAGTAAGAAGGTAAAATTGTCATGGACAAGATGGTTGCAGTTGTGGTCTTGTGGGTAGATCAGTGATAGACTGCTTGCTTATTCTTCCAGAAGTCAAGTAGAAAGAGAAGACTTTGGTTTTAGATTAGGAGAAATCCTGGATTTTCAGATATGTATTGTGGAGAATGTTCTCTAATCTGAGTTTTGGTCTTTGTATTCGGATGATGACTTGTCACCTCCTGCTGTAACTTCTTTTTTCCCTTTAATAAAATTTTTATATTTACGTATAAAAAAAAAAACAAAGTAGGTTCCCCTTTGAAAGAGACAGGTTATGGCACAAAGTTATAACAAGCATTCATGGTCAGGAGGGTAATGGTTGTGATGCTAGACTCAACCCTCATTCTACTTTATCTTCCCCTTGGAAAGCAAAAATGACACATCACTTACCTACATGCATGGTAGCAAATATTTGGTGCCAACAAATGAAGACTAATCTGCCAGATTGGTGCTTCACAACACTTGGTTGTCCTATCATTCATTATATCACCTGTTTATTACATAATTTTTGGCTTAGTCTCTCATATTCTGTTTTGCAATTGTGCGTGTCAGATTCGGTGGAGAGGTTCCACATTCTCTCATTTCTCTTATTTGTGCTAGCTCAAAATATTCTGGAGGCTGAGGGTCCCTGGTTTGGGAATTTTCTTTTTGTAAGTTTACTGAAGATATCTAAGCTCATACTTTACAAGAAAAATTAAAGAGTTTCTCTTACAGAGCCCTTTTAACTCGGTTACATGTTTTATTTGGACAAGGCAGAATGCTCTTCTGGTTTACATATGTGAAATGTCCATTGACATTATCAAGCATTCATTCATTGCAAAATTCAATGAAATAAAGCCCATTGCATTTTCTGAGTTTCTGGAAGACCTCTGCAAACAGGTATTATTTCTGTCAGGCTAGAAGTTATTCCTTTGTATGATGATATGATCCACCTCCAGGGTCAAGATGATAACTTCTTTGCTTCATTTGTAAAGAATAGTTCTATTCCTAAGCAAGCAGCTTTACTCAATAAGAAATACAAAAAACAATCTTACTAAACAGGAAAATTATGGAATGATACTTTCAACCTTAGGTCTCATAATGTTAAAGAAAAATCATGTTTCATTATACTTCCCACCCAACTTGGAAGAAGATTCCCTCGGTACAACCCAATGACCCATCCCTCCCTACCCCCACCACAGAAATAACATTGGCCATTGGTATAGACAACCTTATGATCCGGGATCATAAGGTATTGATCCGTTTGAATGAACTGGTCACCCTGGACGCCAACATCCTGACCTCCCCTTAGTATGCTGTTTCAGAAATCAGGGCTCTTCAACCCATCTTACAACTGACCAATTTCCTTGTGAGAATCTCCCCCTATACCAAAAGTTTGCCTCCAATCCAGTGGATAATTCCAATTGGGTTGTTATTTCTTTCTTTGTTTTTTTTTTTTTTTTTTTTCTAATGGATTACAGAAACAACTTTACTAATATGAAGGAGTATATTACAAGAAATCAGTCATCCCAGAGGTTGAAAATGACCGATACTCAAAAGGAAACAGCCAAGTACCACCCCTATAACACAACAGACTAGAGACCTGTCGATTTCTCTCCCAACCCCTCATTTTGCCAATCCATTTGTTTTTTTTTCTTTATTTTTTACTGCCTTTGATTTATGAAAGCCATTATCTTGGGCTCATTATTGGATGGTCCAAATGCATCTTATTAATGAGATTCCCCTTGTTTACTATTGGTTGATACGGGACATTTTCATTTGGGATATATTTGTAGACAAACTGATATTTTCTTCTGCTTTCTATTCCACCCAGATTTTGAATATTGCGCCAGAGAATGGAAAGAAAAACCTTACTTTTGTTCCTTTGGCACCAGCATGCGTGGTAAGACTCTTCTTTACAAATGTAATGTTTAGATAAACTTACGTTATATTGTAGTTTAGGTTGATGTTGTGGCTGAAATTTAAATCTTGATTATTCCTAAAATATAACCTCTGGTTTCAGGTTATCCGAGTGCTAACTCCGGTATATTCAGCTCATCTTCCCTATGGCCCACTCCCATGGAGGCTGCTTTGGATCTTTCTCTTGTTAGCAATGACCTATGTTATGCTCGCAACCGTCAAGGTATTGAACGGCATGGGCCTACAAAAACTCGCCGTTTGGTATGTCCATAGATGCCAGAAGAGAAAACACCACCTTCACTCGGACTAACCTATAAATGCAATTAGCTTGGGTCTTTAGTGCTCCCAGATCACTTTACCACAACAGGTCTCATACGACCCTGAGTGCATCTTCTGGTTCCGGCAAGGGCCAAGGGTCCGTCAGTTTTGCACCATCAACCATTACCGGAGTAGTGGAGTAGTGTATGGACCCCTTGCTGGGTCAGTCACCCGCATGCTCCAATCTGTTAACAAAAATTTTGGTTTTCACATAAAATCTTCTTTCAAATTTTGTCCAAAAGAAAAAGAATGTATGTATATCTGCAAAACCCATCAAATCTGTGATGTAAAATACCCTCTCTCTCTCATACACACCACACATTCATAGTGCGCAGGAGAGAGAGAGAGAGAGAGAGAGAGAGAGAGAGAGAGAGAGAGCCAGTTCCACAGAAGAACCAGTTCATGCACAAAACTCATCCTTGAATTAATGTGGAATTGAGTTTATAGCAAATGGAAACTCTAGATACGTTATCCACTGCATCTGTCATCTTTCAAAGTTTTAGGCTGATGATGCCTATCCTCAAGGCATGGTTTCTAAATTGGAAATGGCACTAAGCAAAACGGAATGGCCAAATAGTTCCCATTGCCATACTTATTATAACGGATCCAAAGTGTTCCTTGGTGCTTGCTGAAGTAAATCAGTAATCAAAACCTAATTGGATCAGTCAGTTTTAATTTTTTGCTACTTTTTGAGAGGTATTTGGATGAAAGGGCTGTACCAAGGTTCAAAGTATTGACACGTATGGGCTGATACGTATCGTGCTGGTGGCTTTCTGATACATTTTTACAGGGGTTGTATTAGGTCAGCCATCGGTTGAGAGGGCAGTTGGGCCTTAAAATGGTCCTTCTGATCTGATTTAAAAAAAAAAGTAGAAAAAAAAGCACCGACACAGGTTGTATGCTAATAGAGTGTATCAGAACGAGTCGATATTTAGAACCTTGGGCTGTACAAAATGACTAGATGAGGGGTAGCATGTCCCCAAAGATCAATACAAATAATGTAATTAAAAATAAAGTTGGGGATAATATCCTGGTTATGGAGTTCTAAGCCTTGTTTGGTGAATGGAGTTCACGTCTGCTTGCACCACTCCTTTGGAAGTGGAGAAACAAATAAGGTGCAAGGCACATTTATTGCTTATGGTGCCTTGAGTTAATCACGGCCTTCTTTGACGCCCTGCTGCTTTTTGGAGCTCTAGTTTTCTAGGGGTCGAAGCTTCTCTGACATTTTAATTGTCTTCTTGGCCATAGATCAGGTTCTCCAAGATTCAATATTACAATTTTAAGATTCAGATTAGCAATTCTCTCCTCTTACCAAAGAAAAAAAAAGTTTCAAAAGACAAACGTTCAATCTCTCTTAGGCAAGGTTCAGAGGGGTTGGTTTAAGGCTTGGCTATCCTCTGAACCAGTGGCTGACCCGATATAACCCATGTAGGGGTGTATCGAGAAGCCACTGGCAAGATACTTATTGGCTGATAGGGGCCAATATGGGCTGATACTTTGAACCTTTCTCCTAGGAACTAGTAAGTATTACATTGGGGTGTGAAGAGGAGGAAGAAACTCATAACATCATAAGAAAAGATAATTTAAAAATGTGAGAAATTCACAGGTTAAATGAATCTATTAAGAAGCCAAAAATGTTAGGTGTAAAAAACCCTAGAAAGTAAGACATAATATTTGATACGAGGCTTCATTTGTTTGCGATGCAATTTCTTTTGCACTAGTACAAGTGCACGTCTGCATGAAAACACAAATAAAAAAAGTATATATATATATATATATATATATATATATATATATATATATATATATATATATATATAAAATTTTTGAAAGTATATAAAATACTTTTACTTTGGTATTTTTTGTTTTGAAAACCATTTGAGTAAAAAAAATTTGAAAAGTATGCTTTTCAAAGCATTTCTTGTTTGGCAGATGGTATAAAGTACATAATACAAGGCTATCTTGTGTTTTTCGTACTTTTATACTTTCAAAAGTACAGAAATACTTTATAAAAGTTTATCCAAACAGGGCCTAAATTCTTACTCATTTTTACCTCCGATTTTTACTATACTCTGCTTCAAGTTTTGTTTTACTCCATTTGCACCGCAAGAAAACCAAATGAAATAAAATTTCAGAACAAAAATAAATCAGAACTTGCATTTAACTCATTTGCACTCCCATACTTTTACATTAATGCAAACAGCATTGCATAGCAAACAAACTAGGCTCTGGTTCCATTCTTAGAAGTAAAACCATAATTTGATGTTTACAGAATGAAGCTGAAACTCAGATTAAAACACCTTAGCAAGAGCCACAGCTCCAAAGAAAAACCATTTCTCAGAACATCAATTGACATAATATCTGGTGTGTTGCCCGGTGCCCCGGGAGTACTTGCACTAGAATTTGATGCAAACACTGGCATGTATACGGTGCTACGGCACCAATCACAAGTAAACACACATCAGTGTTCCATAAACATGGTGTGTATACCAGGTTACCACGTCCCCCATGTGTACAGAACACTGGTGTATTCACTCTTGATTGGTGATGTGTAGGGCTGTCAATGAACTGGATATTGGTTCACCCCGATATACTCTAATATGAGCCCATAAGAGATGGATCGATTCTAATCCAGTTTTATAAAATACTTTGGACCATTATCTTTGGACTGGTCCAATTCAAAATGTTTTATTGGACTGTTAACTTGTTCAAATTGATTTTAATTCAGATTGGATTCAATCCAAACCTGTATGGATATTAATTCAAGCCAAGTCAATCCAATATAAATCTGTTACACATGGAGCAAGTCCTATCCAATCCAATAAATACTTTGGACCATTAAGTCTTGACGGTCCAATTATATCTTATTGGACTGTCCAACATATTCATAATTTCATATTGGCTTTTATTTGGACAGGTCCAACCCAAACCTGTCCATTGGCATCCCCACACGTGGCCCATTGGACATGCCAGTGTTCCGAGCAGAACAGTCTGGAGTCGAAAAGATGACTAGCACCTATTAGAGCATCTATTAATCTATTATTCAACTATTGACAATGATTCCAGCTTAAAATAAAAAAAAAAAAAAAAACCATTCAACAATTTTCTCTCAGTTCTGCTTCAAAACAACATGGTTTACAAAAATCCTGTTGTTTCTGTCATAAAAAATAATGAAAATTTTCAATCAATATCCTGTACTTTGGTTAGAGTGATAATTTGGTTGTTGAACTTTAAAATACTACAATTTAGTCCTTGAACTTTCACAATCTAGTAGTTGTCATTAATGGACTGTTAGCTATGCATATCAGTGACCTCATGTGCGATTTAATACTTCTGAAAATATCAAAATTACCCTTAAAAATAACACTGTTCATCATCTCTTCAAAATATGAAACAGAGCATAGGCTCTCCATCACGAACCAGCAACCTACAAATTCTTATGTTCATCTACACATAAACATCCAAAAAAGTAATTTTCATTTCACAATCACCATCATTTCTTAGATCTTTGGAAGCTAATAATAAAAAGAAAAAAAAAAACAAGAAAATTTATCAATAATAATATATTACTATTACACTCTTGCATTACAGATATCTATATATAAGAAATCCATATGAAATCCAAGAACACAAGTGCAAAAAGAAAAAAAAAGGAAAATTAAGGTGATGGACAGAGCAGAAAGTGTTTTCATCTGCCCATGTTGTTAACATTCATCTTCTCGAAATAGCGAATTGAGAGGAGAGAGAAAGAGAATTGAACCTCGTCTTTTTCCCAATGAACTAGCGTTTTTTATGGAATTATCGGAGTCGGAAACGGAGACGAAAGAGAGGGAGTAGACAATAACGATGATGCGGCCCATGGAGACGGCGACAGTGATAGAGGTGGTTTTAAGAGGGGCTAGAGACAATGAGAATGGAGGCAACGAAAACCTCCAAGAGCAAGAACCATGGAACGGAGTTGTTGATTGCCACAACCGGTGTTCGTCCAATGTTGGGTGCAGACCAACTCCCACAATCGCTCATCACAGGCCATCATGTACCACTATTTGTTAACGCAAGATGCGAGCGTGTGTCCAAGTGCTTCAGCATCTCGAAGAGCAGATCCTCATCGAGAAGCACAAACCCGGTCTCTTGACCACTCTCCTCCTTTCTTTTTCGCTCCTTCTCTTCTTCCTCCTTTTCTCGTCATCAACTGTTGGATCTTTGCCGGTGATGAGTGCTGTCTTCATCTCGAAATACAACCCAAAGGAAATTTTCGATCTCAGAAGTCTGGGTCTAAGACTCTTCTTTCTCATTTCTCTGCTCGCTGATTCCATAGTTCTGCTCTTGACTACCCTCTTCTTCTTCGCTCCTTTTCTTGTCATCAACCGCCGGATCTTTGCTAGTGATGAGTGCTCTATTCATCTCGAAATACAACCAAAAAACAAAAAACCCCAAAGGAAATTTTCGATCTCAGAAGTCTGGATGTAGGACTCTTCTCCCTCGCTTCTCTACTCGCTGATTCCAAAGCTCTGCTATGAAATTGACTTTGATTTGATTAGGATGATTTGACTTGAGTAATGTATCTTGTTTAGTTGAATTATTAAAATATTTAGGACTGGGATTTGACAAAATAACGAGGGTGCCATGGGCATACTGAATTTAGACATACCATTCAGTACAGGATACTGAATTTTCCCTAGAAAAAAAACCATTAGATGACTAAATTATCACTTGAACCAGACTACAGGGTACTGATTTTTCCCCAAAAAAGAAAAAATGAGCTCAAGGGCGCTTCTCATCATCCAAAGTCAGTACTTAGTGGAAACCCGTATCCACTGAAACGCCAAGTCTTATCATTGCTCGTTGATAGGTGGTGAGTCCCTGAGGATCAAACAATCCACAGACTTATGTTTTTTCGATGTGGGATTCTGCCAAGTGAGAAGCCGGAAAGATCTTGAATAATATATTATCGTGGAACTCAAACTCCGAGTGCCCAATCAATCTCAATGTAGCTCATATAAAAGTACTGCAGAAATTGCGCTCAAGTTCGCTGCTTGTCGACGTTGTCGTATAGTATAGTAATCAGGATTAGATTTAGATGGCAATCGTGGTCTATTCTCTAAACTGATGCTGAAAAAGACATTATTTCCTTTCAAAGTGAAGTAGAATCATCAGGGCTTTTCAAAGACGATCCATTTATTATTATTATTATTATTTTGAACAGACACCCATTTATTATCGCTATTTGAGAATTTTATTACATCTAACCTGTAAAAAAATAATGCCACGGGAAAGCTTGCCTTGCATAGATGAGAATTGCGTAACTTGCGCAACAGTACTCTACTCAGAGGCCTTTTCGTGTTTTGGGGGTAACCCTCACTCTCCCCGATACAAAAACAACCCAGAACCAGAAAAATGAACCTGCAAATCACCAATGTATGCTCATTTGTGGGACTGAATTTGCTTCTTTTTGAAGCATACAGGTCAAGCTAACAGGTAACAGCTGCCTAAAGGGGATTTGACCTCCAAATACAAGCCTTACTTAATGCTTGAACCCATGCAATGTATGGGTTTTGGCATAATTCATCAGTTTGGTCAAAGCCAAGATCCATGTTTGAGGTTGGTCTTAGGTTAGCCCTTAATCCGACCCAGCCCCAATAAAAAAAGGGGCAAATTTCTTATATTACCCTTAATCCATGTTTGAGGTTGGTTTTAGGTTAATTGATTAATTTTACCCTTACTGTTTATATATTATTTTAAAATCTTCCTATTATTTCTGACAATTGTTTAAAATCTTCTCTACCATTAATTTTCCATTATAAACCATTCACATGTGACACCATGTCACTTATATATTTTTTAAAATCTCTGAAATACCCTTTTATCAAAGTTAACTCACACCACCGAGATCGGGAGCGGAACCTGTGTACCACTGTCACTGCTGAACCAATGGTTTCTGAGGTAGGTTTCTCGAGAGTTATTGTTGAAGAGCAGTCAACAAAAGTGGGAACCGACCTGACATGCGAGGAGCAGAGTTCATCCTGTTCGAGCTGTCAACGTTGGCAAAGTTCATCCTGGGAGCCTGCTTGGCGTGTGAGGAGCAGAGTTCAGCCTGGGTCATGTTATAAGAGCAGTCAACGTTGGAAAAGTTCTTCAATAGGTCGAGGCTAGCCTGTCCGAGCTTTTCGGCCACGAGGATAGTACGTTTTGCATCCATGGCCACCACAACAAAAGTGGGAGCCGCCCTGGCCAGTGAAGGAGCAATAATGGAAATGCAGAAGGCAGAGGAGAGAGGAAATCGCCATGAGAGAGACGGAGAGGAAGATTGGTGTTTCTTCAGAGGGAGGAGAGAGAGGGTTAGATGCATTGGTACCCATTGCAGTAATTTGCATGCCTCTGCTGCTACTGCTTTCTTAGAGTAAAATCTACCCAAGGAAGGGGACTTCGGACTCAGTTGGTGATATTAAATAATAAATATAGGTCTCACCAGCGGCTGTGGTCCTCTTCCTCCTCCACTCTCTCTCTCTCTCTCCTCACTTATTTCTTTCATTCTCGTGCCTTCCATATCAATTGCATTTATTTCTTGTTAAAGAGATCATACTCATTCGGATTCGAGTGAAACTTCACAGTGGGTTAGCTGGCGGCGGAAGCCATGATTGTACCATTTGTATGCTTGAATTTGAAGAGAATGACTACATCCACACCCTCCCCGTCTATACTCATGCCTTCCATGTGGACTGCATTGATATATGGCTTAGGTTTCATTAATGGCGTCAGAAGCTGAAGATCATATCCATTGAAGAAGCATAACCTTGAAGAAACTCAAAATGGATTAATTCTTCAAAAATTCTATCAGTTGGGTTTTATTCTGAAATTTTGAGAAATAATGGAGGACAAATTAGACATTTCGCTTTTTCTCTTAACACTTAACAATGATGTCAATTGTAAGAAATAATAGGGATATTTTAAGATAATATGTAAACAATAAAGGTAGAATTAGTTAATTAACTAATGAAATAAAATTTATTGTAAACAATAAGCAAAAACTGCTCAGTTTAGAAGTAGTACAAATACAAATATGTATAGTGCAAATACATGCAAAATAATACAAAATAGAAGGTGGTTTTGCACTCGACTGATTTGTATTTGTACTCTTTCCAAATTGAGCCTAATGAAAAGAAATTTAACAATGAAAAGTAAAAAATAATAGTTCAAATTACTTTTTATTCCCTCAAAGTTAGAAAGGGACCAAATTCAAAAGTATGAATATTTTAATTAAAAAAATGTCCACAAAGCGCAATTATTTTATTCCTTAAATATATATACGATTTAATAAGAGGATTGGGAGTTAATATTTTAAATATTGTACATGCTTCCTGCATTTCCTTCCAAACCAAACACAACTTAATGGAGAGAAAAAATAAACTAAAAAACAGTAATTCAAATTACATCCTTTGCCTTGATAATAAAAAATGTCCAAATTAAAAAATTGGGGATATTTTAGTTAAAAGAATTCTAGAATTTAGATTTCATCCCTACTTTTAATAGTATCTAATATAGATATAGATATTAGATTGTGTTTTTTGTTTTTTGTTTGCTAAATGATATAGATAAATATATAGATATAGATAGATTGCAATAGCTGTTTTTTCAAGGAATTATATCTGATAAGGGCAACTTTTGGGCCCTAATATCAATAAAAGTAATACTTTTAATATAATTTCTAAAATGGGTTAACTATTTAAAAAAAAAATCAAATAAGAACAAAAATATTGTTCATCTTCTTCCTCCGTCAATTTCCAACAACACCTCCGCCTACCTCCGCCTACCTCCGGCAACACCTTCACCCACCTCAACATAGTAAGCAACGGTTTATCTAGGTCTTAAGGGAAGCTGACCGAGGAGATATTTATGCTCAAGTGGAGGATGCTAGGAAAGTTGGACTCCCAAAAGGGTATGAGGAGAGAGTGGATGGGGTGGGATTAATAGTGAGAGACTGGGCTCCATAGCTTGAGATCTTGGCTCACCCTTCAATTACTGGATTCATGAGCCACTGTGGTTGGAATTCATTCATGGAGAGCATCAACATGGGCGTGTCGATTGCAGCTTGGCCAATGCACTCAGACCAGCCAAGGAACACCATGCTTGTGACCGAGGTGTTGAAGGTTGGTATTGTAGTCGGAGAATGGCAACGACGAGAAGAACGGGTTTCTTCAGTCACAATTGCAAATGCAGTCACCAAGTTGATGGCTTCAGAGGAAGGAAATAAAATGAAAAAGAGAGCTGAGAATGGTTTATAGGTGGGCGGAGGTATTGTCGGAGATTGTCGGAGGTCGGCAGTAGTTGATGAATAATTTAAAAGAGGAAGAAGATGAATAATGTTTTTACCCTGATATTTTTTAAAGAAAATTTAACTTATTTTAAAAATTATATATAAAATATTACTTTTATTGATATTAGGGCCTAAAAATTGCCTATCACCTATAATCCCTTCTTTTAACGTTAGATTGCAATAGCTGTTTGACTAAATAGATTCTAATTTGTCTTACATCCCCCACTTGTCTTAAATAATAAGAGGTCAAGCAATGAAAATAAATGAGATGCTGAAATTTTTCAACACTTGGACTCTTTGCTTAGAGTCCTGGATACAGACCTCACCTCCCCTCATCAGTCTTGATTTTCAAGTTTCTTTTTTATTTCTTCCAAACGATTCCACACCCATTTAATCACATTCACTATGAACAACAAATTCACAGTATTTCTGTGCTAAATCCACCAAGAGGGCTGAGGCCCTAATCAGAATCAAACGAGAGGATCGACAAATGAATGGATCACCCTCAGACAACTCGTCCTCTCACCACCAACCTGTTTCTCTTCTTCTTGCTTATTTCTTCCAATCTCCTCACTTTCTTCCTCTTTTCCTCCACTTCCTGCTCTTTCACCAATCCTACGACAACCTCCAATGTCCCTTCCCCGAGAATAAGTGAAGACGTCTATGTCGTTGACGATGAATCTCAGCGCCTCCCACCTGAATTTATTGCCTTCATATCTCCGGAGGAACTCCCATTTGGATATACCAAAAACTTCGACTCCGACACCATCTACCCTCCCGTCGGCCAATCCTGCACTCTCTTTGCTGATGAGCTCCGCCACTACATGTCATACAAGGTGAACGGTTCATGCCCAGACGACGAGCTTCTAGCTCAAAAGCTCCTCCTCAAGGGTTGTGAGCCTCTCCCTCGCCGCCGTTGCCGTCCATCTGCCCCTGCTAAATATGCTGAGCCCCTCCCCCTCCCCACCAGCCTCTGGTCGACCCCATCTGATGCTTCAGTTGTATGGACCGCCTATACTTGCAAGAACTACGCATGCCTGATCAATCGCATGCGTACCCAGAAGGGTTTTGATGACTGCAAGGACTGTTTCGATCTCAATGGCCGCGAGAAGACTCGGTGGACTGCAACAAACAGTGGTGGAGGGCTAGACTTCGCCATTGACGAGGTGCTCGGTACGAAGAAACCCGGCACGATTCGCATCGGGCTCGACATCGGAGGTGGTACTGGTACATTTGCAGTCAGGATGAGAGAAAGAAACATAACGATCGTTACAACTTCCATGAATCTGAATGGCCCCTTCAACAGCTTCATAGCATCAAGAGGGGTTGTGCCTTTGTATCTGAGCATCTCTCAGAGGCTACCCTTCTTCGACAATACGTTGGATATTGTGCACTCGATGCATGTTCTGAGCAATTGGATTCCAACAACGCTGTTGCACTTCTTGTTGTTTGATGTCTACAGGGTGCTCAGGCCTGGTGGGTTGTTTTGGCTTGACCATTTCTTTTGTGTGGAGGAGCAGTTTGAGGAGGTTTATGCTCCTTTGATCGATAACATTGGATTCAAGAAGGTGAAGTGGGTTGTTGGGAGGAAGCTGGACCGAGGGCCGGAGCTCAGGGAAATGTACCTCTCGGCTCTGTTGGAGAAGCCATTGAAGAATTCTTGGTGAGAATTTAATGTTGATCAGAGGTTTTCTTGGTTTCTCTTTTGGAGTGGTTCAAATGATTTGCTGGGTAGTTTCTTTGTCAGTCCACAGAATATGATGTAATATAGTTTTGTCCAGGCACATAATTTGTTCTCTCAGAGTATCATCATGTGGTGCTGCTGACTTAGAGGATCACCATGTTAGATGCATTGTTCAGTTCAGGATTTGAACTCTAGTAAATGCTAAGTTGACCTGGCTACATAGATTGTAGTGATTTTATTATTTCTTTATTTATTGGGTTCGGGTCACATTAATCGTAGGCTCTCATACCAAACAGCTCTGCTCGTATAGGGAGTCCAGATTGGCTCTCCACAGGGATATAATCTGTAGGGTATGCTGTCCTTTTGTTTTAATGCATTAACATGTGTTCTTAGTTATGCGTGTGAGACCATTCATTCATTGTGTTCAAATTGTAGTTTTAAGTGCACCAAGGTCACCCTGATCCCTTTTCCTTCAAGGTTGAGAATTTTGAGAAGAAAGATCTATTTTCTTTCTTGACTCAATGGATGTGAGTATTTGCTTGGTTAGGGGGAGAATTAGATTGAATATGCATCCAAGAGGGCTATAATTTCACCTTTTTTAAGGGTCCATTTGGGAGGCTTCAGTGTTGATTGAGCCACTTCAAATAAGCTACTAAAATGAGCTTCAACAAAAAATCCATTTCTCAGCTCTATGTAAGCCTAATAGTAAGGAGTTCTAGGACATTTTCAATTCAGAAAAGTTTTTCTAAGTCTAATTCAAGCATTACTATTTGGGTTATGTTTAGATTATCCAATCACAATCAAGTTGCACTTTATTGCAGGTAGCCAATGTCCTATGCTCTAGATAAATTTATATGATTTTTCGTATCTTATTGTTAAATATTATTTATTAATTTTTATTTTTTATTAGTTTGTTATTATTTCTGCATTATTTTTAAAGTAAAATTATAAAAAACATCCTCTTATAACATTCTTATAAAATCTCCCTTGTATATTGATCCTAACAAATACCTCCTTTCTATTAGCTTTTTAATAACAAAGATGTAGAAGTTACCAAAATAGTCTTATCATTGTTAAACCATTATCATACATAATAATACAATCTGAAGTTTTCAACTTTATCCTTCACTATTTACTTTGTCAAACAACTTTCAAAGAATAGTTCTCTCTATTCTTCTTGAACTAATTAAGGTAAAAAGATTGGCGTGAAATAAAAGGAAATATATATTTTATTTTCTAGGTATTTTAGTAAATTTGTATCTGACTTAAATTGGTTAAGGGTTAATTTGATATTAAAAAAACTAATGCATTATATCATCTTTTTCTATTTGGAATGCTAATGAAAGAAAGGTACTTGCACCTTTTTTTCTGAACAATAGGGGAGGTTTTTGTTAAGGTCAAAACATAGGGGATTTTTATAGGATTTTTAGATAATTAATAAAAATTAATTATAAAATTAATAAATGTTAGATAATTTTATAATAATTTTACATGAATTTTATAGTTTTTAACAATTAATAACTACTTTTTGTTTTGAGTTTCCTAAAATAATTAATAATTATATTTTAGTGCTTAATTTATTTTATTATGTTTTATTAATTAGGTTATTTTTATCATTTTAATAACAAATATTTTCATCAATAATAGCAATTAATAATTATAGTTTTTATGATGTTTTATTTAATGTATTCAACAAACAATTGACCTAGATGGTTGAACCATTCAAATCATTACCTTGGCCTATTTCTAATTCTAGGTTTTCCTAAATCCTGCTATTTTGTTAAAAACCATTGACTTGGTCAAACTAGTGACTCTAAAATTATGCAACTTTTAAATGAAAGTAGATTATTTCGACTGATAATATATCATTGAGTACTAAAAGGTTTATAAATTATAACTAAATAGAATTTGATTTTTATTATGAAGTAAATAACTGTTATATATATGAATGCCTTAATAATTAATTACTTTTAGAAGTCTATTAGTGTTAGTGAACTTTTCTTGGTAGAATGTTATTTTGAAATCTAAATGGGTTTTGAAAAAGGGAAAATCTATGATACGGGAAATATATGATAGGGAAAGAGTTTTGACCAATCAAAACCCACCCATGAATTTTGATAAATGACACCTGATTCACTCCCATGTTTATGATTCCAATTTATTGGTGAATTGTTTTTCCGATATCATATCTTTTCCATATCATAGTTGAACCCTTTGAAAAATGATAACTAATCATTCTAACACTGGATATCATGAGAAAGTTTGTTTAACTATTTAAGAAAGTAATTAACACTTAATCAAATGAACACAAAACAAGTAAATAAATAATTGATGAAATTAATAAAAATTATAATTAGTTAAATATTTTTAAATATTGAGCATTTAATAATTAATTAAATAATTAAATATTTTCTTGAGCAATGTTAAAGAAAATACAGGAGGGACTCACTTCCCAAACACCCCCTAATAATGTCTAAAGTCCGGTTTTTTTTTTTTAATTTTAATTACACATTAAACGTGATACATGGGACCCGTTCCTGAAAATGAACACAGACAATAAAGAAGCTGTTTCCACTGCTTCTAAATTGTAAAAAAATAATGAAAACACAGGAATAGCCTTCTTCTGCTATCGTCTTTAGAAATGAGAATGCCGGAAGGAATTGTTGCAACACAACAATTTCTTAACAAGTTACGGAAAACCAATGTTGTCATATTCAGACCGTACCATATGGTTGAACAGGTGATCTCTTGATTGATGGTTTTCATGGTTAGCATGATCCGATTGTGCAATTAACCCCATAAAACCATGACCCATTGAGCATTCTGGTTTTTGGTCTGATTTAAGATTCTTGATAGGATTGCTGAAAAATCCATTGGATTAGTTCATTCTGGAATTCTGTTTCGAATTTTGTTTTGGGTCATTTACTAAAATACCCCTTATAGTTTTATCAATTTATTAAAACTTAACCTATAGTTCATGTTTTACTAAAACATCCCCTATATTTTGCAATTAATTTACTTAATCGACCTTCCATTAATGAATGTGGAAAATGACAGTTTTAATTCTAACATCCATTCAAATAAATTTAATCAAAAGAAATTAAAAACAAAAATACCATTTTTGCCCCTAATAAAACACAAACAAGCACTCTATTTTTCTCTATTTGGTTAATTTTGTTTTTTATATGAAAAAGTGTTAGGGGTAATTCTGGAATAAACAACTATATATCCATAACCTTGAACATTTTCCACTTAGCTTAGGGTATTTTTGGAATAAACAACCAGGGGTCCATGCCCTTGAACATTTTCCACTAAGTTTTGATGATCATGTTACTATTTTCAGATGTCAAAACAAATAGTTTTTAATGAAATGTCGATTAAGTAAACACGTTGCAAACTATAAGGGTGTTTTAATAAAATGCAAATTATATGGTAAATTTAAAAAAAAATCTATAAAATTATAAGAGGTGTTCTAATAAATAACCCTTTTATTTTCATATAGTTTTCTTTCATGTGGAAGCATGAAATTGTACCCCTTCATACACCCTCATTTTTTGGATCATTGCTTGGTTCAAAAGGCTGATAGAGTTGTACTAGTTTGAAGGAAATAATATAACCTGGAACAATCTGGGTTTCCTGCTCACAACTCTCTACCCACACTCTACCCGTCTTGAATTGCAGCCACACATCCCATCTTGTATTGTGAGATGTCTGGCTGCCCAGATTGCTGTGGGTAGAGAAAGTGAGTAGTAAATCTGATCACAACCTGCAAAGAGTAGTCAAGCAGAGGGAAGAAGAAATGGGAAATGCAAATTAGATACCAGTTGTAAGAAGACCAACCCAAATTAGATACCAGTTGGATAGGTCGCTAGGGTTGTGGTTATTTTATTGGGTCTGTTGTAGACCTGGTTGGGCTTTGGGAGGAAGTTCAGCCCTGCAGGCTACACTAACGCAAGCTTTACAGCACAACAGTTTTCTACCTTTTACTTAAATGGAATTAGTAATTTTTTTGGCGATCGATTGAGTGTTTGATTGGAAGAATCGATTTATCAAACTTATTTTCCTAAGAACCATGATTTGGAGGGCTTTGTGGAATGACTGATTTCTCCGGGAAAACATGTTCGATAGATATATTGCTGACAAGATAGACACAACATTATTGGTCTGCATAGACACGTACTTGACATGTCAGACATAAATTCAAAATCACCCGAAGCTATCGAGAGAGATGTAATAGAAGGGGTGCAGGTCGAAATATTGGGCCGAATGGTCAAGAAGCCTGGCCCTATTAAAATTTGATGTATTTGGGTTGGACTTGTGTAAGGGTTAGGCCCAGGTGGAGCTCGGGTTAGAACAAAGTAAGACTGGACTTGGGCTATCTAAGCGCTAGGCCCAGGTCCAATCGGAAAAATAAAAGCCTCGAACTTTTGGACCCAGGCCCAATCCATGTAAAATTGGGCCTACGTAAGTTGTACCCCTAAATAGATACTAGCTCATTTTGGAGGGAGCGCTTTTTTTTAAGTACTTATTCAAATAAACATTTATTTTAGGCCAGGATTACACCAATAAGCACTTGCGTTTGGGAAATAAGTCCAAATAAGTGCTTTATTCCTGAAAATAAGCACTTATTCAAAAATTCGAAATTTGAACTTATTTTTAAGTGCTTATTCAATAAGTACATATTTCCTTTCTTGGTCCATATTGGGCCACATAAGTTGTACACCTAAATAGATACTAGCCCATTTCGTAGAGTGCTTATTTTTAAGTACTTGTTCAAATAAGCATTTATTTTGGGCTGGAACTACACCAAGAAACACTTGTATTTGGGAAATAAGTCCAAATAAGTGTTTATTCCTGAAAATAAACACTTATTCAAAAATCCAAAATTTGAACTTATTTTTAAGTTCTTATTCAATAAGTACTTATTTACTTTCTGGCCCATATTCCCTAAATAGATGCTAGCCCATTTTGGAGAATGCTTACAAATAAGCATTTACTTTAGGCCGGGACTACACTTATTCGAAAACCCAATTTTGAACTTATTTTTAAGTGTTCATTCAATAAGTACTTATTTCCTTTCTGGCCCATATTGGCCTTCTCCAGCATTCTAAAAAAACCTAGCTATTCTACTCCTTCGGTGAGAGCACACCACAAGAGTGATCGGGGCCAATAACCGGGCACATATTGCTTATCAAAAAGATCAAGCAAAGGTTCCCAATTTAGTGGGAATTCCAAATCCTCTATGGAAAGTACATGGACCAATTATCATACACCACAGTCCATGAGTTACACATATCCTAGTTCAACTGTGCCAAAGTATGTATGGCTAGCAAGAAGGATTGCTCTTGAGAATCCTGAGCAAATTGTTCATTTGTTTATTGTTTCTTCAC